AAGGGAATATCGATTGCCCTAGTGAAAAACATTAAAAAATCGCCAAACTTACTATTTTCATTTATTCACTCTTTCCATTCTGACAAGTAGCTGGAAGTCTTTTGAGATACTCACATGGGGATGATTATTTTTATATGCATCGCTTACTACAAGTATAATATTTCATTGTATCAAATATTTTTGACTTGGTTAGTTCAAAGGTCAAAAATTGGGACTGATGATGGCGTAGAAGTTGATTGTCAACCATTTTCACTGTAATCCGAGATGTGACAGGGAGTCCACTCCTACTGTCACCATAAACATACCAGGTTACAGGCTTCCATCGTTCACTTTCCTGGCCTTATTCACTACAGTAGACAGCGATTCCACACTGCACTCTAAAGTCAACCTATGGCCCTCTTGAAGCAAATACGAATGTAGGCTTCTAATCATATTACCATGGGCGTTGGAGGAAAATCCACATCCGAAACTGGGTCTTCATAACTTGTGCAGTGGCATTTAGGCAATCTCTTACTCTAAGTGTGGTGCCCTTCATTTTTTGGTAACGAATCAAATTTTCCGAGGCTTTCCTTTGCTCAGGCATATCATCGTCGTTATTAATCTCAGCAATGCTGGCATGATTAGCAGTGGAAAGTGTCTTCATTGTGTGCAAGTTTCAGAGAGGAGGCTGAAATCTACTATTAACTATGGTGACAAAGCCCGAATGCCGATGATAGGACTCTCCAATACTTTTTTTAGCAAATTGTCGAGCGACTTTGCTATGCGAACACAACAAGATCATATCGTCTACTGTGTTACTTTCTTCTACCCACAGCGGCCTCATTGTCTGCATTCAAGTGTTTCAGTTCAAAGCGACTATATTTTGTTTCCATGTTGTTGAGGGGACATTATGCAGTGTTCATAATCTCCCCATTTCGATGATCCATACGAATCCTGTTACTATTATTCCGTGCCAAGATTCACGTTTGATCCAGTCATCATCCACTATCATTGATGTCGCGCATACGAGTGAAGAAGTGCTTAAACGTTTAGAGAGGGAGTATGGTGTATTTAAACACTTTTAGAAATAACACTCTTCTGCAAAATTTACTCCTGACGCCTTGTATATAATATTGTTTTACATTTGCTTACTTTTAGCTCGCGGCAGAGCTCTTAACTTTGACAACCAGGAGCTGTGGTTGAAGGATCTCACACTTCTTTGTGTGGTTGGAATAGAAGATCCTGTCCGACCAGAAGTACCTCTAGCAATAGCCCAATGTCAGCAAGCTGGTATCACTGTTCGGATGGTGACAGGTGACAATGTGGAGACTGCGCGTTCTATCGCCACGAAGTGCGGAATTCTAACGGAATTAAATGGGCGTGAAGATGGGGTGGTCATGGATGGTCGAGAGTTCAATCGACGAATTAGGCATCCAGCAACGGGTCAAGTCTCTCAAGAGAACTTTGATAAGGTGTGTCGATTGTAAATTTTATCTGTCTTGTTTATTAATATCAATATTTGAACCTTGGTAAGTATTAAATTATCGAGTGAGATAGATATCTCCATCGATAGCTATCTCTTTCACACACTGTTGCTAAATATATATTTGTAAAAAAATCTCTGATTCAAAATTTAGCTGAGAGGATATTCGTTGTCACTTTACAAAATTTGAGGGTTACCTCTTGCAGTCGAAAATCTATTAGTTAATTAAAGTGGTGGACACTACTTAAATATTGTAAGAAATCAATGGCCTGCAACTAACACAAAAAGAAAAAATAAAAATTTTCTGAAACTTCTAAACCGCCCACTCTAGCCTCATCCAAAGTTGTTGGGATAAGAGCCTATGTGGGTCATTATGCACCGAGGGAACGCAGAGGCTAAAAGATAGGAAGGTGGGAAAGAGGAGCGAGTGGAACGTGGGAGAGTGAAATTGAAGGGAAGGAAAGGGAAAGCGACATCGCTAAATTAGTCAGACCCAGTTTTTTGGTAAAGAGAACGAATGAGAGTATAACGAAAGAGTTGACTAAACTTACATTGTTGGCAAATTGATGAGAAAGTCAATGAGGTCAACAAGCTTCGAGGTATTTTTCGATATGTGCGCACTTTATAACTTAATTAAAACAAGGAGAAAAGCAGCGTGTTGAGGTTATTAATTTGATAATCGAGCATTCCTGAAGGTCATTGCAAACTTATGACATTTGAAACTTCTCAATTGAGCACATTTGTAAAGTATGACACCACTACTTTGTCGTACTGGTAGGGACAGTTCTGTTCATGCCACTATCCACCCACTAGATATCGATGGACTACGGTCCACTTAGATTTAGCGAGAGAGCAAGGCAGACGAGCGGTTACTTCAAAGTCACTTTATTAGCTCCTCAAAAAGACTATTTATAGGGGAGTATAATTAATGACTCTCCGGATGAAAAGGGAAAATTGTATGGACTAACTCTTTATCTACTCATGCCAACATGCTCACTATATATTAATTTGGCAGAGAATACAGAGTGTATTTGTCATCAGTAGAAAATATTTCGCTTTTTGGTCCTTATTTTAATGGTTAATACTTTAGGGGAATAATTTTTGTTTTATGATTTGATTATTTATTTATATCAAATGGCAGGCGTTTTGATAGTTATCATTAGCCCTGGAGCTGACTTCGGTGCTTCACAGAGAAGAGAAGGGACATCAAAGTGACAAAAAGCTGAGATGGGTGACAGAATAATGATTCACAGAGGTAAAAGAGACAGACAGACATAAAGGCATAAAACAGGTAAGATGAGTACTGTGAAAGGGGTTGAATATGATAAATAGTCGGGCCATAGTAGTTTGAAGTCAGAAGTCAACCGCCGATCAACAGACTTTTTTGCCGTATAAGTATACGTTGCCCATGGTGCACCACGTGGAGGTAAGTCTATTGCGCACCCCATGATTTGATTATAAATTACGTAATAAACGGCTTCTTAGGTGCATTAAGAGAGAATTTTCATCATACTCAGTTCTTAATCAATAGTCAATTTAACACCATGTTTATTGCCCTTCGCTCAATTTCTTAACCATGTTATTTGCTCGAAATGACAAACTTTATGTTTCACGGTCAACCGTCGCTTTGTTCGCTTCCTAATTTAAAATGGTTTCTAACAGCTGAACACGAACCTTCACTTTCATTTGTAAGAAAATCTGCTTTTGTTTATGCCGTGTATTCTGAGTTACGCTCTGATGCTTGTTCAAAATTAAACTTTATTATACTTTTTCTGCCGTCTCTCCTAAGAAAGATATCAAAATCACACACTTCTATTTAAATGATGCTGAGATTGGTTAAAAGTTGGCGGCAAAAAAATAAAGACTTTAGTTTGCTATTTAGAATTGATGATATTTAATCGTTATTTTAAAGTGAAACTATTTTGAAGGTTTCAAATTACCATTACCTCTACCATATCGGATTATCATGGGAATAACTTCTGAAATAAAATGAAGATTGATTTTTCAAAGCCAATTAAGTGAAACAGTTCCCAAACCTTAGCAAATTTAAACAAGTTACCTTTTCATTAACGATTTATATTCAATCGAGAATTGAGTGTATTGTTAATCGATATATGTTTTCATTTATTTGAACTGCATCATCGCTCTGCGTAATTTCGGTACAAACCAGTTAGACGAAACGTTTTAATCATAGATTATTGACTTCTGATGAAATGCGTAAAGTAGAGCTAGACCCCTCACCAAGACCATGGGACCTAATTAGGCTGGATTAAGCTGTTTTCAAACAGCCAACGGGCTAAATAAGACTTTCCCAGACAGCGAAGACCAAGGAACCAGTTGAAAGGGAGGTGCGTCCATTCTTCAAATATAGAAGAATGGAGGAAGGAAAGGTAAAATTTGTAGAATATTGGCCCTTACAACTGATTCATACCTAATCTTTCATATGTCCTAGAGTCAAATTGAAAACTGAATAAAATAGGACTTACTTCAAAGAGGTTGGTATTTCGTCAGAAATTTATTACTTATCATTTTTATCTATCTGACTTCAATCTTCCTTCATTTTGCTCCCTATGGATAATGTGGGGGGGGGGGGTAATTTTTCGTTTTCCTGAGGCGTTCCAAGAGGTCATGATCTGCGTAAAAATGTATAAAGTCAACGTTTAAAACAAATGCCGAGTTCTTAGCCAGTTTTCGTCCTAGTAGCATTTCCTTCAGTGCGCAGACAACTTAAACGTTTGGAATAGTTCAGCATTCTAAAGCCACTTCTTACTCGAAATGGTCTGGACTTGTTGCTGCAGTTTAGAAAGCAAATGCAATCATTGGCTCGTGTGCAAACTATTATTTTGGTCTAATTGCCGTATTGATGCCTAAGCTCTTCCCATTATTGGTTCCTGATGATATCTTTAATATACCTAATGATATTAAAAGCTTTATAAAGCTAAATTTATCCAAGGCTTATTTGCTAATCAAAATTCCATGGTAGTCATAAGAGTAAATGAATATCACTACGAACTGTGGTCTATACTAATTTACCATATTTTCACTATGCGTCAAAACGGCAAATTCATTTTTTATCAAGTGGTAGATAGTATAATGGTGGGTCTCTCTAGCATCACTGCATACCTAGACGACTGCTCTCAGCAGGATTGAGATAACTCGGTCTCAGAGATTAGTGATGCCCAAGATACAATTTTTACAAACACAGTGATTCCTCCTCAGCCTAGGCTTTCATACACAGACAGCCTATTTCCTGGTTTGCGACTCCTGCTCCGCTATCGACAGAATGACAAATGGACTTAAGCTTTCATCAGACATCGATGTGTGCTAGTGACACGATTTTTCAATCTAACAGTCAGGAAAGGTTCATTCCAATCATTTCAACAAACTGTGCAAAATATTCCAGTTTGAAACAGCATTCAATTGGAAAGATGAAAAATTATGCGTGGCCGGGTGGGGGAGGTCATTGGATCAAATAGGATATTGTTTTCCTAAAGGAATTAAGCTATAGATTGTGAATATATATTATTTATTTTCTAAATACTAATTGCTTACTAATTTACGAAATCGTTCGATTGCACTAAATCTGTGGAAGTTGCTGGCATTTTTCCTGATTGCCATTCATGCTTTAATATTTATTTATAACAAATGGCAGGCGTTTTGATAGTTATCATTAGCCCTTTAGTTGACTTCGGGTTTCTCAGAGGGGAGGAGGAACATGAAAGTGAGAAGAATTCGGGAGGGGGAATAGAAGAGTGATTCACAGATGGAAAAAAAATAGACAGACACAAAGGCTCAGAAAGAGAAATATGGGTACTGAGGTAGGGGTCGAATATGATATACAGGGGGAGGGGGGGTCATGGTATTTTGAAGTGAGAAGTCAACTGCCGGTTAATAGACTTTTTGTCGTATGATTATATGTTGCCAGGGTGCACCATAAGGAGGCAAGTCTATCCCCCATCCCTTCATGCTTTAATCTCCATATGCCTATGCAACTAAATTTGTCATGTTAACAAGAGCACCTGCCTGGTTTGTCAGTCTGCGTCTTTTGCACAAGTGTTTAATGTACTTCGATGTCAGGCGAACATGCTTCTTTTTATTTCAAACCCCTTGAGATTAGACTAAACATGTTCTCTACGGATCTCACTATCTGTCATGTCCAATTAGTATTTGGATTAAATTTTTCTCAAATTTTACTCCCATTGGTCCAAGTAAAAGTACTGTAATGTTTAACTTTGAAATAGCTTTCTTTTCATTTGCGAAAATTTTATTTTATCACGCTTATTCCTTTTCCAGTCGATTGAAAGCAAGTATCTTCAGAATAATTGCAGTCTATAATCGTCTTGAATAATGACCCCATTGAACACGTTTAACTGTTAATAAAGACCTTTTATTTCTTAATCATTCCCATTACATGCGATTTTTGATATTATTTGCTGATAGAAACTGGAAACTGGATTTGATTGGAAATGAGATAGATCAGAAAGTAAATGCCTATGATTGGGTTTTGAACAATTTCTACTCAAGTAAACCACTGGAAGGCAGTTATGAGAATTGCTATAAGGAAATACTACCTTGGTTATCTTCCTTTTTCCAATAGTGTATGAACTGACTAAATCAGGCAGCCTTTAGTATTATTTTTGAAGGTTATTCGAAGATGAATAATCGTTCGAAATTCCCATGTCCGAGTTTGGACACTCAAACATTTATGCTCAGATTAACCGAACGAGCGCTTGAACGCCAGTCCTGTTAGTAGCCAACATTATGTATTTTAATTGTCAGAATGTCAAATTAGAGGTTCTGTTACCTTCGAAGTAGCAAACCATTTCGATATTAATTTAACCTCTTCTAGTATGCCAAAACCTTTTAAGTTGTGCCTTTTGTAGTTCTGGTTGTATAAAGTGCAAGAACGTGGCCAAATGGAAGACAAAATGGCTCGATCGTCGGATTTTCTGCACAACCCCTGACAGCTTATTTGTGGAGCATTTTCTTATTTGTTTGACCATA